CTGCTGCCGCCGCCGCTGCATTTGTTTGCTGCTGCTGCTGCTGCTGCCGCTGCATTTGTTTGCTGCTGCTGCTGCCGCTGCATTTGTTTGCTGCTGCTGCTGCTGCTGCCGCTGCATTTGTTTACTGCTGCTGCTGCTGCAGCACTTGCTGCTGCTGCTGCAAATGTCGCTACTGCAGATGCTGCTGCTGCTACAACTGCTGCTGCTGCTGCTGTTGCTGCTGCTGCTTGTTTCTTCTGGTTTTCGTGTTTGGTGTTTGCATGCTTGATTTTATTTGTATTTGTTTAGTGTGTTTATTACATTTATCTTTATTTATTTATTTATTTATTTATTTATTTATTTATATATTTATTTATTTATATATTTAGTATAAGAACAGGTGTTTATATTACTTTAAACTGCATTGAAGACTCCAAATAAATTTTGTATAAATGACTATATTTATATACTTATTTATATATTTATTTATTTAATTTAATTTAATTAATTAATTATATATTTATTTATTTATTTATTTATTTATTTTACAGAGTGCAGTCTCTCCTATGCATATTTGTTGTACGTTGGGTTTTGCTGTTGGAGCGGAGTATCTTTTGAGACATTTAGCAGCAAATGAAGAGGAGAAGAACTCAAAAAAAGACAGTAAAATTAAAGACAAAAAACCTCAAGATACACCCGAAGATGCAGCAGAAAATGCTGCTTTAAATAATATACAAAAGGTTAAAAAAAATATTAAAAATGAAGACAAAAACAAACAAAAACAAATTAAAATCAACGACTTCTTAAATCAAATAACAGAGTCAGGAGGGACCCCTCTTCTCTACGCTGCATCCAAGGGTATGTAATTAACTAAATTAATTAATTAATTAATTAATTAATTACTTTATTTATTTGTTTAATTAATTAATTAATTAAATTAATTAATTAATTTATTTATTTGTTTAGTTGTTTATTTAATTAACTAATTTATTTGTCTATTTATTTTATTTATTTATTTATTTAATTTATTTATATATTTGTTTTTTTGTTTAATTAATTAATTTGTTAATTAATTTGTTCATTTGTTTATTAAATTAACTAACTAATTAATTAATTTATTTATTTATTTGTTTTTTTATTTGTTTGTTTGCTTGTATTAATTAATAATTAATTAATACAAACAATTAATTAATTAATTAATTTATTTTGTTGCTTATTAATTTATTAATTTGTCTTAACAAATCCAACAAATTAAACAAAACAACAAAGCAGCAAACAAATTATTATTTTCTTTTCTTCTTTTGGGGTGTATACGCAGGTCATCTCGATATTGTTCAACTGCTGCTGCAACACGGAGCAGACGTCAATGGAAGAGGATTCGGAAATGTTAGGGTTTAGGGTTTAGGGTTTAGGGTTTTGGATGAGGGGTTAGAGCTTAGGGTTGAGGATGAGGGTTTAGGGTTTAGGTTGAGGGTTTAGGGTTTAGCTAGGGTTTTAGGATAATGGTTTAGGGTTTAGGGTGAACATGTAGCGTTTAGGGGTTAGGTTTAGGGCTTAGAATGAGGGTTTGGGGTTTAGGCTTTGGGTTTAGGTCTAGGGTTTAGGGTTTAGTTAGGGTTTAGGGTTTAGGGTTTAGGGTTTAGGGTTTGTGCTGCAGCAAACAGCGATATGGCGCGCTGTGAGTACGGGTCAGCGGCACATCGTGCAGTTTCTTATGCAAGTGCCGGGCGTCGACTTAAACGTAAACCCTAAACCCTAAACCCTAAACCCTAAACCCTAAACCCTAACCCTAAACTATAAAGTTCAAACAACCCTAAACCCTAAACCGTAACCCCAAGACTTGTAGCTCTAGACCCTAAACTGAAACCCCTAAGCCCTAATCTCCAAACCCTAAACCCTAAACCCTAAACCCTAATGCTTAAACTGTAAACCCTAAATCCTAAACAACGTTTAGGGTTTTGGAGTTGAAATGCAGGTGAAGGAGACGGGGACAGGAGACAATCTTTTACACCTGGCTGTGGTGAGCCCTAAACCCTAAACCCTAAACCCTAAACCGCTGATAGCGTTGGGTGTACAGTTTGAACGTTTATGTATGTTTAGTTGTGCGGCATAATCAGTGCGTATACTCCTTAATATAAAGCCTCTTCTCTAGGGCTTAGGGTTTAGGGCTTAGGGCTTAGGGTTTAGGGTTTAGGGTTTAGGGTTTAGGGTTTGCAGAACTCGGAGTACGCGGCAATTTATTGGGATATAGCGGAGAAGGCCCCGCACCTCGAAGATGAAAAAAACAAAGTTAGATAATCAAACAAACAAACCCTCATTTTATTTTATTTTATTTTTTAATTTTCTTTGTTTTGTTTGGTTGTTTGTTTGTTTCGTTTGTTCGTCTTTTTTTGTTTTGTTTACTTGCTTGTTTTATTTATTTATTTATTTATTTATTTATATATCTACTTCCCTTGATATGCTTGTTTAGGGTTTAGGGTTTAGGGTTTAGGGTTTGTCTATTTTATTTATGTTTTAACTTAGGTTTTGATTTGTTTAAGTAGTTATTATATATATTTGTTATATATTTTATATACGTTTATGTTTATTTTGTTTATAACATTTTGCATATTATATTTATTTTATTATTTGTTTTAATCTTTAAATTATTTTTAATTAATTTAAAGATTTAAATATCTTTCTGCGCGTCTCCACAAACAAATATTTCCTATCATATTTATATTTATTTATTTATTTATTTATATTTATTTATATTTATTTATATTTATTTATATTTATTTATTTATTTATATTTATTTATTTATTTATTTACTCAGGAAGCACTGACACCAGTAGGCTGCGCTTCTTCTTCTTTTATGAAGGCGCTGAAATTTGAATTTGAACTTCGAAAAAATAAAAACGAAGAAATCAAACAAATCGATGAAAATTAAAAATTCATCAAACAACAACCAGTTCGTATACCCACACAAACAATATAGTTGTATATATATATATATATATAGTTATATAT